CAGAAGTCGACGCCCCCGGGCCAGAAGCCGATGCCCCCGGGCCAGAAGCTGACGCCCCCGGGCCAGAAGCCGACGCCCCCGGGCCAGAAGCTGACGCCCCCGGGCCAGAGGCCAACGCCCTCTGAAGTCGACGTGTCTGAAGTCGTCTCCTCTGAAGTTGGCGTGTCTGAAGTCGTCTCCTCTGAAGTTGACGTGTCTGAAGTCATCTCCTCTGAAGTCGACTGGTCTGAAGTCGTCTCCTCTGATGTCGACGTGTCTGAAGTCGTCTCCTCTGAAGTCGACGTGTCTGAAGTCATCTCCTCTGAAGTCGACGTGTCTGAAGTGGTCTCCTCTGAAGTCGTCTCCTCTGAAGTTGTCTCCTCTGAAGTCGACGTGTCTGAAGTCGTCTCGTCTGAAGTTGTCTCATCTGAAGTCGTCTCGTCTCGTCTGAAGTCGACGTCTCGTCTGAAGTCGACGTCCCGTCTGAAGTCGCCTCGTCTGAAGTCGCCTTACCCACTCCAGAGGTCAACGCTCTCTCCAGTCCAGAGGTCGACGCCCTCTCCAGTCCAGAGGTCGACTCTCTCCAGTCCAGAGGTCGACGCTCTCTCCAGTCCAGAGGTCGACTCTCTCTCCAGTCCAGAGGTCGACGCTCTCTCCTGTCCAGAGGTCGACGCTCTCTCCAGTCCAGAGGTCGACGCTCTCTCCAGTCCAGAGGTCGACGCTCTCTCCTGTCCAGAGGCCGACACTCTTTCCTGTCCAGAGGCCGACGTTCTTTCCTGTCCAGAGGTCGACGCTCCCTCCTGTCCAGAGGTCGACGCTCTTTCCTGTCCAGAGGTCGACGCTCCCTCCTGTCCAGAGGTCGACGCTCTTTCCTGTCCAGAGGTCGACGCTCCCTTCTGTCCAGAGGTCGATGCTCCCTCCTGCCCAGAGGTCGATGCTCTTTCCTGTCCAGAGGTAGACGCTCCCTCCTGTCCAGAGGTCGACGTCCCCTCTAGTCCGATGTCTCCACCGTCTCCAGTTCCGTGGTCGACGCCGTCTCCAGTTCCAGCGGTGGTTCCGGAGGTCGTACCGTATCCGGTCCAGCCCTTCTACGAGTCTCTGGTCCAGCCCGTCCAAGGGGCTCTGTCCCCGGCCCAGCCTGCAGAGACTATGTCCCCGGCCCAGCCTGCAGAGACCATGTCCCCGGCCCAGCCTACAGACCTCCTCTGCCCCAGGCGCAGGCCCCCAAGAGCCCGTTGTCGCCTCCTCCTCTGCCCCAGGCGCAGGCCCCCAAGAGCCTGTCGCCTTCGCCTTCTCCTCTGCCTTAGGCGCAGGCCCCCAAGAGCTCGTCGCCTCCTCCTCTGCCCCAGATGCAGGCCCCAAAGAGCCCGTCGTCGTCGTCGCCTCCTCCTCTGCCCCAGACGCAGGCCCCCCAAGAGCCCGTCGTCGTCGCCTCCTCTGCCCTGGGTGCAGGCCCCCGGACTCTGCTGGTCCCTGCCTCCTATTCATCGGGCCCTCGGTCCCCCTCCTCCGGCCCTGTTCTGTGTTCCTGTGGGCGTCTGGAAGCCGCCCTTTTGGGGGGGGGGGGGGGTAGGGGTAGGTACTGTCACACCCTGTCCTGTCTCCCCATTTGTTTCAGCCTGTGTCCCTGTTGATTGCTCCCACCTGCCTCTTGTTTCCCAAGCACCCAGCCCTCCTGTATTTAAACCCCTCCAGTTCTTTGTCTCTTATTGCCTCATTGTTTCCATGTCTGCGTGTTTCTCATTAAAAGACCTTACCTGTCCCAGTTTGTCTACCTGCCTGATTCCTCCCCAGCGTTTTCCCCAGCAGTTGGATCCTCACCTCTGCTCCACTCACTGGCACGCGTGACAGAAACGTGCTGGTCAGTGTCAGAAAGCTTGGTCTCAGTCACAGGTCATGGGTCTTGCAACATGACAATGACCCAAAACACACAGTTAAAACACCCAAGAATGGCTAAGAGGAAAATATTGGACTATAAAGTGGTCTTCTATGAGCCCTGACCGCAATCCTATTGAACGTCTTTTGAAGGAGCTGAAACATACCTTCTGTAAATGATCCCCTTCAAACCTGAGACAACTGGGACAGTTTGCTCAGGAGGAGTGGGCCAAAATACCTGCTGAGAGGTGCAGAAGTCTCACTGACAGTTACAGAAATCATTTGATTGTAATGACTGCCTCAATGGGTTTTGCAACAAAATATTAAATAATAAATGGCCTGTATTTGTACAGCGCCTTCTTAGGGTTGTACAACCATCCGAGGTGCTTGACAACAAATCAGTCATCCACACATTCATATGCTGGTGGGGATGAGCTACAATGTGGCCACAGCTGCCCTAGGTGCACTGCAACCTTCTGATTACACGACAACCCACTCAGCTACTGCTGCCCCAGACATAAACTTGCATCTGTGCCCACTTAAGCTGGATTGGTTTAGATCATATCTCCACAACAGGACATTCTGCGTTAAACTGGGTGGTGTTTTTTTCTTCTTGGGAGGGGCTCCGCTGGGGGGTCCCGCAGGGATCGATCCTTTGTCCTCTTTTGTTTGCCATTTATCTGCTACCTCTGGGGTCAATCTTTCGTGAACATGGCCTATCATTCCATCTCTATGCTGACGATTGCCAGATTTACTCTCCGTTGTTTCAGGAGAAAGGTCACTCTATCCAGTCCTTCGTGTCCTGTATTAATGAGGTGAAGTCTTGGCTAATGGCCAACTATCTGCATCTGAATGAGGGAAAGACAGAGCTCATTGTTTTTCACCCCAACAGCAGGAATGTGGGTCGTAATGTTGATCTTGGCCCTCTTTCTCCCTACTCAAAACCAGTTGTTACTAGTTTGGGAGTGAAAATTGATGCTGGACTTAAATTTGAGGCTCGCATCAACTCAGTGATCCGGCCCAGTTTCTTTCACCTGAAACGCCTTGCAAATATCAAGCCTATGCTGTCGAGAGCCCACCTGGAGCGGTTACTGCATGCCTTTGTTATTTCTAGGCTTGATTACTGCAACTCTCTCTATGCAGGGTTGTGTCAGTCATCACTGGGTCGCCTACAGGTTGGGCAGAACAGTGCAGCCAGGTTCCTAACTGGGACCAGGAAACGGGACCACATCAGTCCGGTTCTGGCCTCCCTGCACTGGCTTCCGGTTTGCTATCGTGCACAATTAAAAATCCTTGTCTTTGTTTACAATTTCTTCCAGGGTGGTGCTCCCCCCTATCTAGCCACTCTCCTGAACAAACATTCCCCATCACGCGCTCTGCGCTCCTCTGACCAAGGCCTGCTCGCTGTCCCTCGTTCTAGGTGTCGTACTCGCGGGGACCGGGCTTTCTCAGTCCTAGCACCGTCTCTCTGGAACCAGTTGCCACCCTCAGTTAGGCTGTCCCCATCTCTGCCAGCCTTTAAGAGTCGCCTATAAACACACCTTCTCCGCTTGGCGTTTCCTGAACATGTTTGATTCGGCCCTCTTTTACGTTGAATTTCTTTCACAGTTTTCATTGGTTCACTCTATCCCTTGTTTTACCCATATGTCCTGTATTAGAATGTTTCACCTTTTTTGTAATTTGTATTTTGTAATTTGAATTGCTTTTATTTTTGATTTATTCACTATATTTGTACTTCTACTGTACCATGTTCAGCGCCTTGGGCTTCCTGACAGGGTTGCGGAAGGAGCTTTATAAATAAAGCTTTGATTGATTGATTGATTGATTAATACAGTTCCAAGTAGTAATCTGATGCCTTCTTGCAAAACCCTTACTAATCTGTCGATAGCATGTCCACGGCTCTTCTCCACATACTGGTATTTTCGTCGATTAGAGGTTTATAGCTGCTACTCGACCACAGAGCTGGAACTAATAGCTTTTACTTCTCTGATTACAAGACTACCTTCTTCAAAACTGAATTCAGACACTGCCAACAGCACACAATGATGTCATCAGATCATTTTTAAAATGAGAAGAAATTTGATATGCAAAAACAGGAAATTTGAAACAAACTCTAGAATGAGTGGCACCCTTTTTTATCACTTCTTTTTGTTCTGTGTGTGTTTTTCACAATTTTCCGGTTTTGGAAACTAAGTAGAATTAGAATCAGTTTATTTGACATTAAACCAGCTTCCCAGTACAACAGGCCAGTTTATAACCTCAATAAAGGTCATGATTCATATACAGTACTATGGCTGGCATTATTGTACCTCGATACATGTAAACATTGTCGTTTCAAATGCAGAACTATTAATAAAAGATCGTAACCCAAAAGGGTTACTTTAGAATCAGGGGAAATGCAGCAATAAACGTTGTAACTAACAAGTGATTCCTTGTGCCAGCCCCAAATGCAGAGGGTTGAGTCAGACTGATGAGCGTGAAACCTGAAGATGAAGGAATATTAATCCATGTTGTGAGTAGTTTTTCTCCCTTCAGCTAGGATGTGAGCTTGAAGAAAAGCAGAAACTCTGGAGTCAGCTAGTTGATCTGATGCATTTGTTGCACCGCCTGAGCAGAGAGAGTGGTAATTAATGAAGCAGATACACAAGAAATACACAGACTAACTGGGGCGTCCTGGGACAAACTGACAGCTTTAAAGAATCTTTCCAGAGTATTTCTCTTATGCGATGGCGCCATCTAGTGGCCATTTTTTAAGATGGGAACTTCACGTTTCTGTTTATAAATGTGCTTCTGTGCCGACAAACAGCTAAAACCCGTTGTTTTACGAGTATTATTCTCGTGTCATGTTGTGTTCTCATATATTTATATTTTAGAGACTTTCTTGTTCATGAAAAGTTCATCAACTCTGCATCAGCTGAGGTATTCCTTTAATTTGAAGCATGCAAGCGGTATTCTGCCATACATTTTTTCTCTCAATCAAGATTATTCAACACATTAATATAATATCAGTTTATAATTTGATGCACGGCCCTGCATGAACCTGGCCGAGTTATCCCTGTGACCGGAGTAGCGTAATTATAACAAACCAACAGGGCTTCATATAAATTAAGTAGTTTTTACTTCTGAAGAAATTTCATCATAAACAATTTGTTGTAAACGACTTTATTTCCTTCCGTGTTTGTGATGAAGATGTTGATGTGTGAGTGAAGTCTTCCATCCAGTTCTGATAGATCTGCTCAAGGTTGCAGAGCTGGGACGATGGTTCCCTGGCAGGATCCAAAACCAACCCTGGATCCGTTCCCTTCACAGTAACCTGAGCATACAAATGTAAATATCAGTTACTTCCATGAATAATGTCTGTTTTAGGATTGAGTTTCGATCTGGATAAGAAGACAAAGACAGTTTAACACACACACACACACACACACACACACACACACACACACACACACACACACACACACACACACACACACACACACAGTCTTCAGCATTGATGAGTACACCCCCACTGTAGTCCTAGGAGAAAAGCCACACTTAAAGTGAGAGTCAGGGCCTGGGTGGAGACGTATTTCATCCACACCTCCTGTTAGGAGAACGCTTCTGAAAGAGGCGTCCCCTTGCGGACCGAGAGAGCGGCACTGAGGCATTGATAGACCACTTGGACTTGTGTTTTGGGTCATTATCTTGCTGTAGGATGAACCGCTGACCAACTAGGCACATACCAGAGGGCACTGCATGGTGTGGAGAATGCTGTGGTAGCTGTTCTGGTTCAGGGTGCCTCTCATTCTGTACAAGTCACCGACTCTGGATCCAGCAAAACAGCCCCAAACCATCACACTTCCTCCTCCATGTTTGACAGCTGATGCCACACACTGTGGAACCATCCTTTAACCCAATTCAGTCCATAATACCGTCTTCCAGTCTTCAGTAGTCCAATGGCAGTGTTTCATGGCTCAGGCACGCCTCTTTCTCTTATTCTGACGTCTTAGCAGTGGCTTTCTTGCTGCAACTCGTCCCGTCTGACCTGCAGCTCCAAGTCTTCTCTTCACAGTTGAAACTGAGACTTGCTTACTACTACAACCACTATTAAGATGTGCTTGAAGCTGTTGTCCTGTGAGCCGCCTATCACACAAGCTGTTAACTCTCAGAAACTTGTCCTTTGATGCAGTTGTGGCTTTGGGTCTGCCAGACCTCTTCCTGTCAGAGTTTGCCCCAGTTTCCGAGTGCCTTTTGATGGTGAAGGAAGCTGTACTCACTGACACATTGACTTTCTTCAGTTTCTCTGTAGGAAAGACCTACATGATGGTCTGTCTCTCTTCCATTGGTAATTGCCTTTTTCTCACCATTGTTGTAGCAACACTATTATCGGCAGTCCAGTACTGTTTACCTGATGCTCACGAGGGTTTGGTACCACAGTATGTTCTAGCACTGCTTGTATGCAGACAGAGGCGGTTGTAAGGAATCCAGAAAAGTTGGAACACCTGTGGGAATTAGTAGCTTTCAAGGTTGATCAACCTCCATTGCTGCAGAACAGCTGTGTTCCCTGAAAAAGGCCTTTTTGTATAATTCTGAAATGTACATTATTTACCTTTTTTTTTTACCTGTGGCAGGTCACCACTTAACTTTGTACCATTTCAAGCTATTCATTGGAGTTGAATGACTTAAACTGGAATAAATAAGCTCTAAAACTTTTGACCGGTAGTGTATATTTATTAGGGCTGTAGCGCAGCGTCGATGACGTCGATGGCTCAATTCTAAAAATTCGTTGACGTCAGATCCGGTAGTCGACGCACCACGCCCACTTGTTGCATCCCCAGGAGTTTTTAAATAGAGGAGGAATCTGCCCATTTTTCCTCTAGTTCGCCCTCTTCTCCGCCTTCACTAACATCTCCACCAAATACCGAAGACCCGGAACAATGTCCGTCTTCTACTAGATTCCTTTCCTGTTTTGCCCGCCTTCGTCTCACGGCGCAACAACTTCCGGGGTCAAATGTGCTGCTTCATCTCTACCGCAGATGTAGAAAATCACCGGGAGCGTTTCTTCCTTCATAAAGGAGCTTCTTTCAGACATTAGGAGAGCTGTTTTGGTGCTAGCAGTCTCTCCTCCGTGCTGGTCTATTTGGTGGGTATTTTGGTTTATTTAAACTCGGTAACTTGAACTTAACGTTGGTAAAGCTACTGTTAGCATCTTCGCTAACAGCTTCTTGCGTTTGGATAAGCTGTTACGTTTTGGTTTAGAGTTCATCTTTTTTGTGGTGCAGATCTCCCTTTTACTACATTTAGAGTGTTGTGGGTTTTCGGTTTAGTTTAAAATGTCACCTTGAGTTTGGTTTAACCGCCCAGTTTAGAGTTTGGACCTTTGGAGATCCTTATTTTGGTCCAGAACCCAGTAATCTTTGCCCAGTGGGACATCCCTAGTTATTTGTACTTTGTTTTAATTCCCCACAGGCAGAATTAGTTTTATTATTCCCAACCTGTAGATGGAAAGATTTATGTTTTTTTGTAGTTGTAAACAAACCTGATCATCATTTTAACTTTTAAATCCCGTTATTGTCCCTTCCTTTTTGCACACGAGCCAAACTCCCCAGGAAGAGTCGTAACACCACTCGCCTCACGCACATATGTGACCAAAACAAAGCAGCATGGAGACACTCCATCTCCAACCACCTCTCAGGCAGCAGCCTGCACTCCCAAGTTCTACACATCACCAGAACATAACCAACCGCAACACAATAAAAGCAGTGTTATACAAAATGGAAGGCCTGTAGTGTTTATTCTCTTACAGTAACAATTTATCAATTTTTTTGGAGGAATTTATTAGAGATTTTCTGGTTTTTAGTAACTGTGCAATAAAAAAATAATCATTTGGTTAATCGTCTAAATAGTCATTAGAATAGTCGACTATTCAATAAAATAATTGTCAGAAAAATCGTTTTAAAAATAATCGTTTACCCCCAGCCCCAATATTTATATTTTAGAGACTTACTTGTCCGCGAAAAGTTCATCAACTCTGCATCAGCCGAGGTATTCCTTACATTTGAAGCATGTAAGCGGTACTCTAAGGGTATTGGTTAGTTTTGGTCGGCGCTCAATTTCCTTTTGCATGGAGCCTACAGTGGTGTGATAAACTATTTGCCCCTTCCTGATTTCTTATTCTTTTGCATGTTTGTCACACTAAATGTTTCTGATCATCAAACACATTTAACCGTTAGTCAACGATAGCACAAGTAAACACAAAATGCAGTTTTGAAATGATGGTTTTTATTATTTAGGGAGAGAACAAAATCCAAACCTGCATTGCCCTGTGTGGAAAAGTAATTGCCCCCCTCCCGTTAAAACATAACCCAACTGTGTTTCACACCTGAGTTCCATTTCTGTAGCCACCCCCAAGCCTGATTACTGCCACACCTGTTTCAGTCTAGAAATCACTTAAATATGAGCTGCCTGACACAGAGAAGTAGACCAAAAGCACCTCAAAAGCTAGGCATCATGCCAAGATCCAAAGAAATTCAAGAACAAATGAGAACAAAAGTCACTGAGATCTATCAGTCTGGTAAAGGTTTTAAAGCCATTTCTAAAGCTTTGGGACTCCAGCGAACCACAGTGAGAGCCATTATCCACACATGGCAACAACATGGAACAGTGGTGAACCTTCCCAGGAGTGGGCGGCTGACCAAAATTACTCCAAGAGCGCAGAGACAACTCATCCGAGAGGTCACAAAAGACCCCAGGACAACTTCTAAAGAACTGCAGGCCTCACTTGCCTCAATTAAGGTCAAAGTTCACGACTCCACCATAAGAGAGAGACGGGGCAAAAATGGCCTGCATGGCAGATTTCCAAGACGCAAACCACTGTTAAGCAAAAAGAACATTAGGACTCGTCTCAATGATTGCCAAGACTTAGGGAAAATACCTCGTGGACTGATGAGACAAAAGTTGAACTTTTTGGAAGGCAAATGTCCCGTTGCATCTGGCGTAGAAGTAACACAGCATTTCAGACAAAGAACATCATACCAACTGTAAAATATGGTGGTGGTAGTGTGTTGGTCTGGGGTTGTTTTGCTGCTTCAGGAACTGGAAGGCTTGCTGTGATAAATGGAACCATGAATTCTACTGTCTACCAAAACATCCTGAAGGAGAACGTCCGGCCTTCTGTTCGTCAACTAAAGCTGAAGCCATCTTGGGTGCTGCAGGGGGAAAAACCCAAAACACACCAGCAAACCCACCTCTGAATGGCTGAAGAACAACTAAATGAAGACTTTGGAGTGGCCTGGTCAAAGTCCTGACCTGAATCCTATTGAGATGCTATGGCATGACCTTAAAAAGGCGGTTCATGCTAGAAAACCCTCAAATAAAGCTGAATTACAACAATTCTGCAAAGATGAGTGGACCAAAACTCCTCCAGAGCGCTGTAAAAGACTCATAGCAAGTTATCACCAACGCTTGATTGCAGTTATTGCTGCTAAGGGGGGCCCAACCAGTTATTAGGTTCAGGGGGCAATTACTTAATCACACAGGGCAATGTAGGTTTGGATTTTGTTCTCTCCCTAAATAATAAAAACCATCATTTCAAATCTGCATTTTGTGTTTACTTGTGTTATCTTTGACTAACGATTGAATGTGTTTGATGATCAGAAACATGTTGTGTGACAAACATGCAAAAGAATAAGAAATCAGGAAGGGGGCAAATAGTTTATCACACCACTGTAAGTCTCCTCCCTTTCGGGTCGGCTCACGGGTCCCGGAAGAATGAAAAAATGAATGCAAGTCAACGGGACTAAAAACGCTAGTTTCTAATCCGCTTTGCCTTTACGCCCTGGATCACATATGTTGTACTGCAATTTAAATGAAAAGTAATGATGGGGGTTTCGACCACGCCGGTCACGTACTTTGAGATGTATCAGCTTGTAAAAGTTTGTAATTAGCATGACTACACACTAGAACTCTGCACGTTGTATATGTGACGTCACCACATAATCTCCTCCCCCCTAGCATAGCTGCTAGTTACCACATGACCAGATTTATGGTGGTTCTTTCCTCCTGAGGGAAGTTTGCTGAACTTACAGCCATTATCCCTCAGTTTTCTCAGTGTCTGGTTCGATGACGTCACTTTCGTGGGGCGCATTTGTAGTTCTGGACTTATTTTCACACAAAACCTAAAATAAAGTTTCCCCTGTTCGCAAATAAGCGCGTTTTTGGTATCAAAATGTGTCTTTAAAATTCATGGACATCATATGTGAAATCCATGGCACAAAACAAGCGGAATAGAAAATAGCGTTTTTAGCTTAGCAAAAAAAAAAAAAAACATTTAAATAAGATGCTTACATTATATCACAATACATGATGAGATAATCACTTTTACTGATTTCTGAAAAATCATACATAATTTCTGAAATGGGAAAACACCTGAAAGATGCTTTAAGACTACAAAATTTGAATTAATGGTCATTAAACTACACGCAAGCTCATTTAACCCTCCCACTGTCATATCGGGTGACCCCTCCAGGAAAGGTGACCATTGAGCAGGGTTGATGGTTTATCCCTTGAGGTCCACGTGGCAGGGGTGAGGTGGTCCATCCATCCATTTTCTGTCAGTGTTTGGCTCCTGTTTGTGATGTCACCAATGGAGACATGAAGTTGGCGGAGCAGCAGCTCTACTCTGAGCCTCTCCTGGATACCCAAGCTCCTCATATTATGGACACCAAACAGGGGCTGGGTGGGCGTGAATAGAGAGAAACAGCATGTGTCCCTTAAAGTGACAGAGCCCTGAAACAGCTCATTCTGGAGGGTACTGAAACTGCTGAGAATAAAGCTGCTGAAATTCTTTCGTGTCAGAGGGATTTGGAGTAAAGAACATTTGCATCGAGTCACCCGTCCTTTCTTTCTGACCTCACATTGGATGTTTCCTACAATCCTGTCTCTAAACTTTTTTCCCCACACTCTTATCTTTTTCATAACTTCATGAACGTGTTTTGTATTTGCCATAGAAATTTTATAACTTCAGAAAAAGTTTAAATATGTACCCCTTAAAGAAGCACTATCAGATGTTTCAGCCTACCTAATAACAAACCTACCTGTGATTGTGATGTCATCTCCATCATTCAAAAACGTTCTAGAGTTTCCTCCTCCCAGATCAATGGTCTTAGATCCTCTCCAGGACAATTCCAGCATGGAGCCAAAGCTCTCTGGGTTCTGTGGAGACAGGTTTTTAATACTGTTGTCATGTTTAATACTACTACTACTTCTACTACTACTGTCCTGTTTATTGTTCATCACCGTTGGATTTGTTCTGCCAGCAGCATGCACCCCCCATAAATTATACATCAAAACGAGCGGCTTGAGTATGGGGGGTGTGATATTATTTTTCCAAGTGTTTTGATTTTACAATGGCAAACTTGTTAGCAAAAAACATATGTGGCACTCTAAATTTGCATAATAATCAATTAAATGTGCACATAATTAATTTATTAATTATATGGCAGGCCCTCCAGAGAGGGGTTTTTACATATGCATAAACACCATCTTGCACCAGTGGGCAGATCCCTTTTAAAATTTCTTTAGGAATTTTCTACTTATGTTTTTGCGGATGTCAACGCGGCTTGCATGGCAGTGTGCATCCTCGTAAATTTACATCAAAACAACTGGCTTGGGCCTAGGATAGGGGTGCCCAATCCTGGTCCTGGAAGGCTGGTGTCCAGCATGTTTTGGTTTTAACTCTGTTTCAACACACCTGATTTCAATCAGCAGGTGATTAAAAGGCTTCTGCAGAGCCTGATGAGCTGCTGCACAGGCGATTCGCCCACTGAATCAAGTGTGTTGGAGCAGAGGAACCACTAAAACGTGCTGGGTATCGGCCCTCCAGCACCAGGATTGGGCACCCCTGCCCTAGGAGATGTGCTAATACTTTTCTAACCTTTCTGATTTACCAGGGCGAAGTTATTTGCAAAAAGCACTGAAAACATTTTTCATTTTGAGTGTGTTCAGTACAAGTGTGTTTATTACAATTTGGGCAGCTGGAAGGTCCCTTTAAAATTTTCTTCAGGAAATGATTTCTTTGTCAGTGGCGTGAAACCCCCACACATGCTGGTGGTATATCATGATGTTCATTACACAGCTGTTCAGTTTGTGTGTGTTCATTACTTGTGGCAAGTGTGGGTTTTCATGATGTTGGGGTGGTCACCCCATTATCATGAGTCTAAGCCTCTGTAACACATGACCACTGTCTTGTGCCAGCAGGCAGGTCCCTTTTAAAATTTCTTCAGGAATTCTCTAGTTTCTGATTATAGAATAGAATAGAACAGAATAGAATAGAATAGAATAGAATATCCCTTATTGATCCAACAGCGGAGAAATTCACTGTTACAGAAGCACCTACACTTAGAGCAGGGTCCTCTGGTAGCCTGGGCTACTGGTGGCTCGTGATGCACTTGAAAGTCACTCGCCTGGAAGCAGACAGCGAGCCATCCTGACTGACTTGATTATGAGGGATGGCTTTTAAATTTGATGGCAAGCCGTCCCCATTTTCTGCAATACCTCGTCTAAAATGAGCATTTTGTGGAACAAAAATAAAAATCTGATTAGATAAATAGATAAATGCTCACCCTCCCTGCGATGTATAGCGCGTCCTGGGAATGCAGAGGAGGACGTGATCGGCTGACCTCAACAAGCGCTTCAGAAAATAGGGGGTGAGCAGATCAGAAAGATAAGCAGCTGCTAGGTCATTTAAAGCCTTGTACACAAAGGTCAGAATCTTAAAATGTACGCGGAGCACAACCGGAGGCTGGAGTAATGTGGCTACATCTGTTTGTTTTCGTCAGGAATCAAATTCGGCTAGCAGTGCCTACACCACGCTCAGGACAATCCAGACTCTTCTCATGCATCGTTCCACAAACGGAACGACCTACCAAGCACTGCCAGAACAGGGGCTTCCTTTTCAATTTTCAAGAAACTCCTGAAGACCCTGCTCTTCAGAGAGCAGGGTCTACTGAGATGGTGCTCCCGCGGGTGCACGCTGCGAGCTGCTCGTCCTATTTATGCAGTGGTACCTTGCTTTTTACTGGCTTTTATTGGCGTTTTATTGGCTTTTATGCATTTTTGTTGTCTCTGATGACTTTTTTGAATGGTGCGGATCCTCTGCTGACCTACGATCGAGCTGCGCTGCTGAGGCTTCGTCCTCCCGTTGATGTAGCGGGAACCTCACGGATGGTGCTGCTGGTTGGACTGCCCATGTGCTCTCTCCCCCCAAGACGTGATGTGTCGGCCCTCTGTCCGCCCCAGCTCGAGAAGGAAGCATCGGAGAAGACGGGGAAAGAGAGGTAGCCGGCGCGTGAGACGTCGGCCTGGATCCCTGAAGAAGCGGCTGGTCCGATTCGGCACAGCTTCTGACCCGGTGGTTCCGAGATGTCTCATGGATTACTCGGCGCCCTGCCCAGGGAACTTGGCCGGCTCTGAGGGTGAACTGGCACCGCGCCACGGCCAATCGGCTCGAAGACCTCGCCAGACTGGGGTTTGCTGGGAGAATCTGCGCTCGGTTACAGGCACAGAGTTGGAGGGGACTGGGCCCGTGCGCGATCTCTGTGCCGCAGCCCCGCCGCAGACCCGGTTTGGTCTGGTCAATGCCAGCTCTGTGCTGAACAAAACTTTTATTCTTTGTGACTTTTTTATTCAGCATGACTTGGGTATTCTCTGCATCTGTGAGTCATGGATCCCGTTTGGTGACTCAAGCGCCCTGCTGGAGCTGGTACCACCTGGCTGCTCCTGTCTTAATATCCCCAGATCACGGGGCAGAGGTGGAGGGCTGGTTGTTGTTTTTAAATCCAGCTTTCCTTGTAAACAGCTTACACCCACAATGTCATTTTCTTCCTTTGAACTGTGCTTATTTGAACTGTGCTTCTCCCCCCGCCTGCTCGTTGTGCTGATTTATCGCCCTCCAAAGACTGACTCTAACTTCCTTAATGATTTCTGTGATCTTGTGGTAGACTGCATCCTAAAATATGACTATGTCCTATTTTTTGGTGATTTTAACATCCATATCTGCTGTCCTGGCAATGTGCTTGCTAAAGGTTTTTTGAATTTGCTAGATTCATTCAATTTGACTCAATGGGTAACATCCCCAACTCATGCCAGTGGTCACACCCTGGACCTGGTTCTCTCTTATGGTCTACCCGTCATGAACCTTGTGACTTTGCCTCCTGTGTTCTCTGACCACTCTCCTATACTCTGTGATGTTACGTTGCCATGTCCTGTCCCTGTGTGTGAAGCTCCAGCTACTAGGTTCAGAGCCCTGGATGCAGAAACTATTTCAAAGTTTGTGGACTGTATGTCTGTAAGGTTAGAGACCTTTAACCCTGATCCATCTAACACTGAACACTATTCACAACACTTTGATTTACTTTGTAATCAGGTCCTGGATGTGGTTGCCCCTCTCAAACTTTGCAAGTCTAGGCCTAGGAGGGAGCCTTGGCTCTCTGATGTCACACGGGCTTGTAGGCGGGTGTGTAGATCCTCTGAGAGAAAATGGAAAAAGGATGGCCTACAGGTCTCACGTGAGTTGTTCAGAGCATCTCTGGTTGCTTATCAGGATGCTGTGAGGGCTGCCAGAACTGCATATTTTGCAGACATCATCGAAACAAACTCCAAGAACCCCAGGATTCTCTACAAAACACTAAACTCTGTTCTAGTGTATCAGAAGCCCAGCTTCATGTCTCCTACAGCTGCTGGAAACTCTGAAGCTTTTCACAGATTCTTTGTTGATAAAGTATCAGGCATTAGAGCTGCTATTTCTGGTAACTCTGTTGACCCTGTTCCAGTTCCTCCATCACCACCCACCCTGAGCTCCCTCAATACTGTTTCATATTCTGAGCTGAGTAAGCTAGTTGCAAGGCAGAAGCCATCTGGCTCTCCACTTGATGTTCTGCCGCCTCGTCTTTAGAAGGCTGCCTTTCCGTGCCTTGGCCCTTCACTGGGTCAGATTATCAATGGGAGCCTCAGCACAGGTGTGGTCTCAGCTGCTTTGAAAGCAGCAGTTATTCGGCCGACCCTGAAGAAACCTGGTGCTGATGTCTCTGTGATAGAAAATTACAGGCCTATCTCGACCCTGCCTTTTACATCTAAACTGCTTGAGAAAGTTGTTTATCAGCAGCTGACTCTGATCTGTTTGAGGTTTTCCAATCAGGGTTCAGCTCTGGCCATAGCACAGAGTCGGCTCTACTGAGGGTCCTAAATGACATCTATCTATCACTAGATTAGGGTACTTCTGTGGTGCTTCTGTTGTTAGATCTGACGGCAGCCTTCGACACAGTTGACCACGCGATTCTACTCGATCGCTTGGAACGATGGGTTGGGATCAAAGGGTCTGCTCTGGATTGGTTTAGATCATATCTCCACAACAGGACATTCTGCGTTAAACTGGGTGATGTTTTTTCATCTTGGGAGGGGCTCCGCTGGGGGGTCCCACAGGGATCGATCCCTTGGTTCTCTTTTGTTTGCCATTTATCTGCTCCTCTGGGGTCAATCTTTCGTAAACATGGCCTATCATTCCATCTGTATGCTGACGATTGCCAGATTTACTCTCCATTGTGTCAGGAGAAAGGTCACTCTATCCAGTCCTTTGTGTCCTGTCTTAACGAGGTGAAGTCTTGGCTAATGGCCAACTATGGTAAATGGTAAATGGCCTGTATTTGATATAGCGCCTTCTAGATTCCATTCCATTCCGGGCTTCGAGGACCAGTATCCTCCTTTACAACACAATCAGTCATTCACCCATTCACACACACATTCACACACTGGTGGGGATGAGCTACGATGTAGCCACAGCTGCCCTGGGGCGCACTGGCTACAGGGCCGAGGCTGCCAAGCACTGGCGCCACCAGTCCCTCCGACCACCACCAGCAGGCAACGTGGGTTAAGTGTCTTGCACAACGACAGCAACAGACTGAGCAGGACTCGAACCTGCAACCTTCCGATTACAGGGCGAGCACTTAACTCCTCTGCCACCATCGCCCCTATCTACATCTGAATGAGGGAAAGACAGAGCTCATTGTTTTTCACCCCAACAGCAGGAATGTGGATCGTCATGTTGATCTTGGCCCTCTTTCTCCATACTCAAAACCAGTTGTTACCAGTTTGGGGGTGAAACTTGATGCTGGACTTAAATTTGAGGCTCACATCAACTCTGTGATCCGGTCCAGTTTCTTTCACCTGAGACACCTTGCAAAAATCAAGCATATGCTGTCGAGAGCCCACCTGGAGCGGGTACTGCATGCCTTTGTTATTTCTAGGCTTGACTACTGCAACTCTCTCTATATGCAGGCTTGTGTCAGTCATCACTGCATCGCCTACAGGTTGTGCAGAACAGCGCCGCCAGGTTCCTGACTGGGACCAGGAAACGGGACCACATCAGTCCGGTTCTGGCCTCCCTGCACTGGCTGCTGGTTTGCTATCGCTCACAATTCAAAATCCTCGTCTTTGTTTATCATTTCTTCCAGGGTGGTGGTCCCCCCTATCTAGCCACACTCCTGAAGAGACACTCCCCATCACGCGCTCTGCGCTACTCTGACCAAGGCCTGCTCGCTGTCCCTCGTTCTAGGTGTCGTACTCGCGGGGACCGGGCTTTCTCAGTCCTAGTACCAACACTCTGGAACCAGTTGCCACCCTCTGTTAGGCTGTCCCCATCTCTGCCAGTCTTTAAGAGTCGCCTAAAAACACACCTCCTGCGTTTCCTGAACATGTTTGATTTTGGCCCTCTTTTACGTTAAATTTATTTCACAGTTTTCATTGGTTCACTCCATCCATTGTCTTACACATTTGTCCTGTACCAGAATGTTTCACCTATTTTGTAATTTGAATTGCTTTTATTTTTGATTTATTCAATATATTTACCTTCAACTGAACCATGTTCAGCGCTTGGGCTTCCTGACAGGGTTGCGGAAGGCGCTTTATAAATAAAGCTTTGATTGATTGATTGATTGATTATTGATTGATTGATTGATGAGGGAAAACTGGAGCATGAGATCGATAGGCGGATTGGTGCTGCATCTGCAGTGATGCGGGAGTTGTACCGGTCTGTCGTGGTGAAGAGAGAGCTGAGCCGGAAGGCAAAGATGTAGATGTACCTTTCGATCAAAGATCCTATCCTCCCCTGTGGTAACGAGCTTTGGGTAATGACCAAAATAATGAAATCAGAGGTATAAGCGGCCGAAACGAGTTTTTTGCACAGGGTGGCTGGGCTCTCCCTTAGTTGAGAAGCTCAGTCATCCAGGAGGGGCTCGGAGAAGATTTGCTGCTCCTCCACATCGACAGGAGCCAGTTGAGGTGGCTCGGGCATCTGGTCAGGATGCCTCCTGGATGCCTCCCTGGTGAGGTTTTCCGGGCATGTCCAACCGGGAGAAGGCCTTAAGCAGGGCCATTCAGTTCCGGGCTTCGAGGGCCAGTATCCAGCACGTTTTATGTTTATGTTTATGTATTTAGCAGACGCTTTTGTCCAAAGCGACTTACAAGTGGTTTCTCTGCTCCAACACACTAGATTCAGTGGTTGAATAACCTGTGCAGCAGCTCATCAGGCTCCGTAGAAGCCTAAATCACCTGTTGATTGAAATCAGGTGTGTTAAAGCAGGGTTAACACTAAAACATGCTGGATACCAGCCCTCGAGGCTCAGAATTGAATAGCCCTGGCCTAAAGGAAGACCCAGCACACACTGGAGAGACTATGTCTCACGGCTGACCAGGAAGCGCCTTAGGATTCCCCTGGAGGAGCCGGCCCAAGTGGCTGGGGAAAGGGAAGTCTGGGCATCCCTGCTTCGGCTGCTGCCCCCGCGACCCGACTCTGGATAAGCAGCTGAAAATGGATGGATGGATAAAACATTGTGTATGTCATTTATATCAAATACTACCGTGTTTGACACGTGTGACCAGAGTAAATATATAGTCACATCAATAAAGTATTTCCTTGTACATGTATTATGTTAGCAGCTGTAAGTAGTTTAAGACTATTTAACATGTTCATAAAGAGGACAGCATGTTAATGATACGGGCCCATACCAGACTAAAGCTGATATATAATTATACTTATTAATAATGCTGACATCAGGAGCAACATCAGTGGAATAAAACACTCCTGGCTGCAAATGAAGATTAAATACAAACGGTGTTAAGATGCTAATTTAATAACAACTCAGTTTTATACGTTTTAAACTCCACATTTATTAATAATTTAGCCGTCTGAAGCAAAGGTGCAGCTGCTGCCACCGCTGTGGGCCAGCGGTGGCACTAATTCATCACCTCGTTGTTGTCCACTACTGACAAGAAAAAGGTGAAGTAACTTGCCTCGTCCAATCATATTCACCAAGCTTCAGTAAGCCTAGCTGCTCTCTTGTCGCCGAGCAGGTTTGTTCTCCAGGGAGGGGCTTCAGGCTAGCCAGTAAGAGACAGAACGCACCAGAGAATATGAGCGGACCGGAATGATCGTGTGTTGTTTATATCATTTGGGTGGCGCCATTTTGGCGGCCTGGAGCGCATCAACCATCAGTGCTCTGCCGCTCTCCCTCCTGTCCAACACCCGGAACACTGAGTCTATGAAATATAGGTAGGAACAGGGCCGTTTCTAGGGCTCGTTTTTAATAGTACTACTGTCTTGCTTACTACTACCAGTGCTGTCCTGTATACTACGTCTATTGTCCAGTTTACTACTACAGCCACTGGCTGGTGAGGTAGGGAGACACTCACAGGCCCACTGATGGTCCCAGAGGCCAGCAGGTCCCCTGGTCTGACGTTGCAGCCATTGACTGTATGATGGGCCAGCTGCTGCTTCATGGTCCAGTACATGTACTACACACACACACACACACACACACACACACAGAGAGAGAGAGAGAGAGAGAGAGAGAGAGAGAGAGAGAGAGACAGCTTTAGTTACGTAAAAATCCTCTCCTAAACAAAGCTTACTCTTTCAGATCTGTGATCTTTTAAACTTTTCACTTCATTACTGACACCAGTAAGCAGCCAAAAAGCCCTAGATTACCCTAATGAACCCATCTGATGACATAACAAATGTACCGTCAGCTTCTCTACAGTACTGTAAAGTTTTCCATTAGGACGTGAGCCATGTTCATGCATAATCCTCACATTTATTCAGGTGCTTCCATTAAAGAAAAGACATAATTCACAGAAGTCACTGAGAGATACAGAGAATATAGCAAATAGAAAATATCTACATTATAATCAGGCTAAATAATTACTGCCATTGTTCAACAACAGGAAGTGCTGCTGGGACAGTGAAACTGCAAAGGTCCTGGTCCCAATATGTAGTCTGGAGTAAAGAAAAATCACAGGATCAATAAAAGCATTATGAACACAGCTGGCGTCTGACAGGTCAATCATCACAAGTAGATCTTTGTACGAGTTTTGGTGCGCGTGTGCGTCATAGTGGTGATCACTAGGGCAAAGGTTCTGTTCTTGAGCCTTCAAATAAAACTTTGAATTGTGGTTGAAAAAATCACGAGAACAAAACAGTCCCAGAAAAATGAGAGCAGTTCACTAATGAGCTGATGAGGGTTACAACACCTGTCAGCAGGTGCAGTGGTCCTAATAGTCCCGAATACATATAAAAGCCATGCTGTAGTTCAGGTAAACAAAACTGCTCTGTGTTTAAAAAAAGAACTACAGCATGGAATTAGAGATACGACACAGCAAGAACACACCTAAGATATAAAAGCCATTTCAAACGAGCTGTCACCATCTTGTTCCACTCTGTTGCATCATGCCCCCCACCAGATGAAAACTCATCAACTGTAACATTCAACCATGTCTTGTGTGTTCATCGCTCTACTGCCCAGAGACCTTCCTGACCAAAATGTGCACACCCAGTTTTGGAATGGACTGACACTTTGCTGGTGAAGGTTCTCAGTCATCCAGGTCATGGTAAGCTAAAAGGGTTCAAATGAAGGCAGCTGGACTTCTTTGGTTTCTTGAAGACGTTTCACTTCTCATCCGAGGAGCTTTGTCAGTTCTGACTGGAATATGGGAGAGTCAAGCTTACAAGCTGTAGCTGTCTGTTGTTATTTAACCAGCAGAAACTACTCAATTATCAGAGGAATCAGAGTAGTTTCTGACTAAATGAATAGATTATTTTGTCTGGCAACGCTTCATTGATGGCTCTCAGTCGTGGGGCGGGTTCTACCGTTGTCTTTCATACAATCTCTGCATGCTATCGGACAATGAAAAACGTGACGTACTCATTGCAATGGATGTCTGTAAACAGGGCGGACCGCTGTTGAAGAAGGTGAAAATAAATCCTTTTGTTTAAATAAAGGACTTAAATACATCAATCTGCTCCTGCTTCTAATACAGCCCAAGTCCTAGTTGTCCCAAATAGATATAAAAGTGGTTTCAAACGAGCTGTCGCCATCTTGTTCCCCGCTGTTGCATCATGCCACCCACTAGACAAATAGAGGGCCCTATTGGCCCTCAATGTGGATAGAGCCCTGTGATTGGCCCATCATTGTGGACTAATCACTGCATTCTATGAGCTTGAAACCCAAATAGAGAGCTATGTTTAGCCAGTCAGAATGCTGCTAGGGCTGCATAGGTTCCTATGGAGCCTAGACCAAACTTGTCAAAGCAAGAATTTGGTCTAGTTCACTAGGCTACTTTTACCATGGATCAAAGAGAAAACAACACAAATTGGACGGGTGGGGGTGGTGGAGGTGTTGGATGGGGTGTACATTTATAAGTTCACATCAATGTAAAGAGCAAATTTACACCAATGAGTTGGAATCTCAATTCCTGGGCTTTCAAGTCTGCAAAGCGCCAGGGAAGAGGAGTATTTTCAGTTTGTCCCAGGCTGTGGAGCTGCAAGTGCAGATGCCGACACTAGTAGTCTGGACACTAATGAGTGGAAACAGAAGGGGGGGCACTTCAACCGACCTGCTAACTCTGCAAAGCACATCAGGATTTGTAGTCTTTTTGGCAAATGCACTGGCAGGCCAGTTTAAACGTGTATTTGATCTCAAGGGCCAAATACAAGTTGACCGTAGGCCAGAATTGGCCCAAGGGCCTGCGTTTGATACATGTGATCCAGAAACTTCCACAGTATTGTCAACTCTTCATCTTCCCTTCCTTTCACTTCCTCAGCCCTCTAAGCTGCTTCATGTACTAACGTTCTGTTTACTATTTCTGGAAAAGGTCTTTGTGGAATGATGTATCAGACGCTATGTGGATAAGCTTAGCAACTGTAAAATGATAAAGTTCTGGCTCTTACCCTGAAGTTGGAACTGCAGATGTTTACAGCACTTGCCATGTCCTTTCCTAGATGAACAAACAGCTTTAGAACAGACGAGAGCCTTGGAATGATGTGAATTAATAACTCTTTAAAAAGGAAACAGGTGTAAACTTCTGCTGGTTCAATCAAAATACACACCGTGTGTGTGTGTGTGTGTGTGTGTGTGTGTGTGTGTGTGTGTCAGCACCTTTCAGTGACACAAACAGATTAATGTTGAAGGTGTACGCATCCTGATGTTGGAGGTATGGAAGTGGTTCCGGATCCTGCAGGGAGACAAATAGTTTTTATTATAAAAAGACTCAAATATAAGTTCTTTGCTCCCGTTGGTTCTGAATTGGCGATGCTTCGGATCGTAGACGATGTGGGTTCTGTGATAGCAATCCAGATCCTCCCATTATTAAAACGTTTTCTGTGCTTTTACAAGAGAATACCCGACATGAAGGCTGCCCTGCTGTAGGATAAATGAATGATGACCTACACTTGCATAGCATCTTTCAGAGCCTGAGGACTCCAAAGAGCTTTATAGAAGAGTGAATCATTCATCCATTCACACAATGATTGTGGTAGCCACACCTGTCCTGGGGCACTGCTCCGTCGGTGTGTTTGTGTGTGTATGTGTGTGTGTGTGTGTGTGTGTGTGTGTGTGTGTGTGTGGGGGGGGGGGGGTCGGTCTGTTGTTGACAATGCATCGGTAGCTTGGCCATGAATGAACCTGTCACCAATATGATGGGTGTGTGATCCCTGTCTGCTGTGGGAGAAGTCTATGATGTTCTCCAAGTGGGCTGATGCTGGATGTTTCTGTAGTCCGGAGAACAGGCAATAGCCCTAGAGTCCTGTTCCGGGGTTCTCCAGAACACACAGATGGAATTATTAGTTGACTTTAAGCAGACACATGAGACGTTTTCATCTGTTCAGACCCAAATCACCATCAGAACTTCTGGATGTGACTGTGTTTCTCCAGGATCAGTTGAATAAATATGGGATTCTCCGTGGTAATAAGTTGATGCACTTTAAATGCATTCAAACTGGCTACGTAGTGACACAAAACAACAAGATGATTATTTTAAGTTGTAGACCCTTGCAGATCACTGTGGAACATCCCATACAGTGGTGTGAAAAACTATTTGCCCCTTCCTGATTTCTTATTCTTTTGCATGTTTGCCTCACAAAATGTTTCTGATCATCAAACACATTTAACCGTTAGTCAACGATAGCACAAGTAAACACAAAATGCAGTTTTTAAATGATGGTTTTTATTATTTAGGGAGAGAACAAAATCCAAACCTACATTGCCCTGTGTGGAAAAGTAATTGCCCCCCTCCCGTTAAAAAATAACCCAACTGTGGTGTTTTACACCTGAGTTCCATTTCTGTAGCCACCCCCAAGCCTTATTACTGCCACACCTGTTTAAATCAAGAAATCACTTAAATATGAGCTGCCTGACACAGAGAAGTAGACCAAAAGCACCTCAAAAGCTAGACATCATGCCAAGATCCAAAGAAATTCAAGAACAAATGAGAACAAAAGTAATTCAGATCTATCAGTCTGGTAAAGGTTATAAAGGCATTTCTAAAGCATTGGGACTCCAGCGAACCACAGTGAGAGCCATTATCCACACATGGCAACAACATGGAACAGTGGTGAACCTTCCCAGGAGTGGGCGGCCGACCAAAATTACCCCAAGAGCGCGGAGACAACTCATCCGAGAGGTCACAAAAGACCCCAGGACAACTTCTAAAGAACTGCATGCCTCACTTGCCTCAATTAAGGTCAAAGTTCACGACTGCACCATAAGAAAGAGACTGGGCAAAAATGGCTTGCATGGCAGATTTCCAAGACGCAAACCACTGTTAAGCAAAAAGAACATTAGGACTCATCTTAGTTTAGCTAAGAAACATCTCAATGATTGCCAAGACTTTGGGGAAAATACCTTGTGGACTGATGAGACAAAAGTTGAACTTTTTGGAAGGCAAATGTCCCGTTGCATCTGGCGTAGAAGTAACACAGCATTTCAGACAAAGAACATCATACCAACAGTAAAATATGGTGGTGGTAGTGTGTTGGTCTGGGGTTGTTTTGCTGCTTCAGGAACTGGAAGGTTTGCTGTGATAAATGGAACCATGAATTCTACTGTCTACCAAAACATCCAGAAGGAGAACGTCCGGCCATCTGTTCGTCAACTAAAGCTGAAGCCATCTTGGGTGCTGCAGCAGGACAATGACCCGAAACACACCAGCAAATCCACCTCTGAATGGCTGAAGAACAACTAAATGAAGACTTTGGAGTGGCCTAGTCAAAGTCCTGACCTGAATCCTATTGAGATGCTATGGCATGACTTTAAAAAGGCGGTTCATGCTAGAAAACCCTCAAATAAAGCTGAATTACAACAATTCTGCAAAGATGAGTGGACCAAAATTCCTCCAGAGCGCTGTAAAAGACTCGTAGCAAGTTATCGCAAATGCTTGATTGCAGTTATTGCTGCTAAGGGAGGCCCAACCAGTTACTAGGTTCAGGGGGCAATTACTTTTTCACACAGGGCAATGCAGGTTTGGATTTAGTTCTCTCCCTAAATAATAAAAACCATCATTTCAAAACTGCATTTTGGGTTTACTTGTGTTATCTTTGGCTAATGGTTAAATGTGTTTGATGATCAGAAACATTTTTTGTGACAAACATGCAAAAGAATAAGAAATCAGGAAGGGGGCAAATAGTTTTTCACACCACTGTAAATATTGTTTGTCTGTTGGTCCCTGATTGTTATACGTTTTGTTTTTCTGTGCTTTTATAGCTGATATTTTCTTTCCATTTTGAGAAAATGTTGGAGTCGATGTTATAATTAACACTCTCGATATTTTTGGGCAGTTTTCTATTCATGCAATTTGACAGATGGGCCTGGATTACTTCTCCACCTCAACCCTTGTTGAAACTTGAGGCCTGCAGACTGAGTCAGATCCTGTTTGACCACCTTCCCGGAGAACAAAGGCCTGCTGTGTGGTTGATCCCAAACTAGACATGGTTGCAATCTTGGTTAAATCAACAGCTGCAGACACTGTAATCATTTCTGAACCTTGGCTAACTAAAGCCATTACTACTGAGGATATTAACATAGTTGGATACAATGTTTATCACACAGACAGGCCTAAAATAAGTTTGATGTGCTATTTATGTCAGATCACAATTGAATGCATCAATAGTCTTGTCTTGCCAAAGGTTTTGGCTTTGAATGTGGAAGTTGCTAAATCAATTTCTTTAACTGTTGGTGGGTGCTCCAGGCCTCCATCAGCTTCCAAGGAGGCATTATCATCCTTAAAGCATCTATTGTCCAAATTAAACTATAGTGAACGCATAATGGCTGGTGATTTCAACAGGGACTGGCAAAATGCAGATTAATTCAAAAGCTTCTGTGACTCTATAAATCTTAGCCAGTTGGTCAACCAACCCAAAAGACCCAATCTTAAGATTCCTGATAAATCCACCTTGATTGATGTAATTTTAACAAATATCCCACATAAATTCTCACCCTCACTGTTTTCTGCAATGCTTTGAGTGATCTTTGTGTTGTTGCTACTAGTAGGAGTACCAAAAGGCCTAAATTCAAATCAAGTATCAGCTACAAAAGACATTTTAAACAAATTACAGACTAATATCTATTCTGTGTGTCTTGGCAAAAATTGTAGAGACCCTAGTAAGTGAACAATTGAAAGACTTTTTATTTTCAAACGACCTTCTCTCAAGTCTGCAACTGGGTTTCAGAAAAAATGCACAACACCATCACTGCAGCTACAAAGGTGATAACTGACATACGTGTTGCTCTGGATAAAAAGCAGTACTGTGCTTAACTTTTTATTGATCTGTAAAAAGCCGTTGACACTGTGGACCATGCTGTTCTTAAAAAAAAAGCTTCTTTGTTTGCGATTGTCTGAACATGCAGTCTCATGGTTCACAGACTACTTGAAGGACAGAACTCAATGCATTGTAGTGGGATGAGTCACCTGCCACCAAGTAATTGGACGACCTATCATTGAGGGAAGGCGCTGATATAAATAGGGCCTGAAGTGGCGCTACAGCGATCTTTTACTTTGGCTTAACTTCCGCTTCCTGTTTGAAGAGCCGTTGTGTACGGGACTCCGGCGTGTCGGACTGTGAGTACTATTTAAAAACGCTGCAGTAGTTGCATGGAGTCTGGTGTTTATTGGTTGCTCCTGCCACAGGAATTGTTGTATATGGTCCTCCCAGAGTAACGGAAGGCTTCTCTTTTATCCTATGTGCTTCAAAGAAGTGGTATGTACATCTGCGCTCCTCTCCACTTAGCTGTGGCTTTAGGATAATACTAATTAATGTGTCTTCCAGATCCAGGAAGGGGTGTGTCTCCACAGGAGACTCTGTTGTTCTGTTGTTCTGCTGCTTTTCTGCACAGTTGCATGGGATCTCTGTTTACCGGTTGTTGACCCGGTTCTGGACCATCATCCGGCTCCAAGACCTCTCCACCCCGCTGCTCGGACTGGTTGACGGGATCAGCGGAGACCATCGGGAGCGGCTTTTGTCACTCGCTCCTCTGTACTGAATACCAGCGGAGGGCGTACACCCGCTGTGGGGTTGGGTATTCTAACGAGGGGCTGCGGGCCCTACTGGCAGTTGTCGTCGGCCCGGGAGCTCATAAGGACGGCTGAGGCGCAGGCTAATAGGCTCGTGTGCAGGCGAACTGTATGCTCGCTCATTCCCTGACGGCCTGCCTGCTCAGTCGTGGCTGTGTTTTAGTGTGTGTGTGTGTGGATTTGGATTTTTACTGTGTTTTCTGTTTTCTTTTCATTTAGGCTGTGAGCTGACAGTGGTGGTCGAGCCCTGGTGGTGGTCCTTTTGATGGTGTGCGTGTGCTCCAGAGTCACTTCACCCCCCGAATGCATGCACGTGTGATTGGGGTGAAATTACTCGTGGTTGGTATTTAGTTCCGGGCTCTCTTAGGCAGCCCCATTAGTCAGCCTCAGCCTAAGTTGATTTGGTTTTAATCAGTGTTGATCTGCAGGTGCATGGTGTGTTTTAGATTATTTTAAACTCATTTTTATTCTTGTAATAAAATCCCTGTTTGTGTAGAATGGAACTCCGTCTCAAGCTTGATTTGTAAAAATGAACTAATGTGCCTTTAGTTTCAGTCGTTTTGGTTCCTGATAATCAGGTGGCGTTGTTTCTAAATTGATAAGTGGCCCCGCTCGCCACAGCATTAAATGTTATGGGTTGTCCTCTGAACTTTTGAGTGTCTACAAGG